ACATAATTACATCGTAACAAATGAAAAAAATAACAAAAAGAAATTTTTTCATGATCATATGAGTTTGCCGGATAACATAATTTATTGCCCAATTCGTGTGACCCTTCTAACGTCAGCCATCGGAGTTAAACCCGGCATGACAGTATCTTACGATGGTTGCAAATATTCTCGATCTCTATAAATGCCTTTTTTCTTATCGTTCTTTAAATGCACATTGTTTAAAGATTAGTCTTTAGAAGGTGCATTTAGTGAGGTCATACTGTAATATAATCAAACTTCGATTTATTATAAATGCACGATTTATTTATTTATTTATTACAATTGTCACCCTAAAAGCTCACTTAATCTTATTACACAATACAGTTCTTTAAATGCATACAATGTCGGTCAAACCAAATTTGTTGGCTTTCTTCGCCAAAAATATATGAATTAGCAGAATTGGCCAAAACTTCTTTTGCTAGTAAAATTACTAACACTGGCACAGTGCATATTATTTCTAAATACACATACGTACAGTACCTACCATTTAACGATATATCCTTGCACGGTGCTGCTTACTTCGACAATCATTTTATTAACGTTTACTTAGCCATATCGCATAGGACTAATAGTGAGTATTTTGGAGAATCGATGTGAGTATTTCGAAAGATTCAATGATTAATAGTGAGTGTTCATACTTTTAATTTCCTTACTTTATATATGGCTATTCTTTTCTTATTTAACTATCAGAGGAGTCATACGATTGTTCACAATAGGCTTCACCTCAAACTAATCCAGATTAGAGCTTCTTAGAGTATGTTAAATAATGCAATACGGTAAAATGACATCATGGACAAACTGGTTCACAATTTTACTCTGGAGGCTTAGATGGCTTGGGTCATTTGCTAGGAAATTGCTTTTTGATACTTGATTTCAACCGGTGATTTTTCTAATCCATTCCCCATTTATGGAATCTATGTTTAAGCCACATTACTGTAGCCCTTCAAATGTTATAAAAAGGTCATAACTTGGTTACGCCATTTATAAGCTCACTAACTCGATAATAATTCCCCATATATTATATGACCCAAACCACCAACATCACGTCTCTAGTGAGTCGCCTAAAATCTATAATTTTAGAGTATAAATTATCGAACGTACGATTCACCCCGTAGCAATTGGTGGTAACCTGAGATATTTGTTGCGAAATGGATGCGCATCAGTTCAAAGTATTCATGGAAGCTATTTCCCATTCCTTCGCCAATAACAAATGAGAATAACCTTGGGCATCAAGAAAACAGCCTTATTAAAGTTCGGAATTTTCTTGGAACACGACCCGCTTGAATGCTTAGTGGATTTTGAAAATGCAGCCGATATAACATCATTTGTTGGAAGACCAACAAAGAAGAAGAAGAAACTAAAAATTTTTACCACCATTTCGTAAAGTACATCATCACTGCTGAAAACTTGTGTGGGTAGCAAACCGTGTGGGATACCTTGGCCCAAAAGGAGGATGAAAAGGTGGACGTCTATGCCACTACCTTTAAAAGACTGATAAAACGGATAATTCAAGGAACAAATTTACCAAATGAGAAGGTTTTTGAAAGGTTTAAAGGATTTAATTGCAAAGCTCATTGTTTTTATGGCCTGAAGAACTTTGAGGAAGCAATCGAAAGACCAAAGTGTGAGAATATTATGAAAACTGTGTAAAAGAAGACAATATGGGCCCAATCTATGCTAACTAAGGATACTCCTGTAACCCTCAGAAATAAGACAAGTAATAATATTACTTGCTTTAGATGTAAAATGATGGGCATATATCCTGTGTATCTAAAAAGAGGACGGTAGAAAATTTGTAGAGTCCTTGTAGAAATTTTAGGACGATCTTATTATACGATTAATGATGACAAATAAAAAAAATTCAAATAATGCATTAGCATTAAAATATCAAGAAAAGTTTTATTTCATTAAGGGCGGATATGTTTGTTAATTTAACAGATGAATTAACAAACTCAATAGAAAGAGCTAAATAATGAATGTATCTGAATTAAGTCACCAGGAAGATATATTTTTAGAAACAAATATGATAAAATATTTAAGATTTAACTAATTGCTAGAAAATGAACCAGACCTGATGAAATGGGCAACGAAAGCCCATAACTTAGTTAAAGGGCTCGACGAACGACTTATGAAAGAATTTCATAATTGGACAAGTGATCGTCATGAAATTAATTAATTCGACAAACACAACTTAATGCAAGAAAGTTAAAGATATTATTGGAGGGATGCCCTTGTGGAAGTTCGCAAATACAGTAAAACCTCCCTCCCCTCGGGACCATAGTAAAAAAAAAAAAAAAACAAATTGTGCACTTAAAGAGAGTGTGCATTTATAGAGAACGATATATATAGTGCTCTTATAAGTTGGAGCTAAGTTATGCCGTGCATTTAGAGAGAATTACATAGGGCGTTCACTTATAGAGTGTGCACTTAGGGAGGTCTTACTGTATAAAATATCTTGCTAAAGAGGCTTTGCCTGGTTTTTAAGGTAGTATGGCCTAATAGAAGAATGTATGGGTGAGAGGTTCACAAATAGATGTTGTCTAAAAGTCTTGATAATTCTAAGGATATAAACAAGAATTTTTTTAGAGAAAGTTAAAAAACAACATAAACAGGGGGGGCAATTCAGCAAGTGCGATTTATGGAACAACTAAGAATCCAAAAGATAGTAATTACGTAATGGTCATGGAGTATGCGAAGCTGGGAAGCCTCCAAATACTTTAGAAAGTAAATAAGATGAATTAGATTGGGCTTCTAAATAGTTATATAGCCGACAGGTTCGATACAATTTACTAAGTCAGCGATATTACAGAACTCAAAAACACTCTTTGACGTGCTTCTCATATATTGCACTGGAAGTATTGTGTATAAATGGAAAAGAATATATTCAAATGTCAAGTATTTATTTCTTCAAAATAATTATGTCAAAAATTTTTTCTGGATATCTGGAGAAGCTTTACAAGAACTATATAAATTTGTTATAACACAATTAAAATAATTATACTCAACACAGAAGACTATTGTTACTAAGAAACTATAAATTATTTAGTTGAACAAATTGAAAAGTTAAGATTTGGGCCCTTTTGGGTCGATAGCGTAGTGGTTAGCACTCCAGGGTCATATTTGCAAGTTGCTGGTTCGAGTCCAACTGGGAGACAAAAGCCATGACAGGACCACGAGTAGCAATGATCTCTAAGAGGGTTTTCCCGTTTCCAGAACAAGACAAACGAGTTGTGAGGCATAGTCACAAAAGCCCCACGACGCCCAGAAAAGGAAAAAATCTGACATAAAAGTCATTAACATAGGATTCCCAGATTAAGGTTAACCATAAAAATGGATATTAAATAGGAAAGGGAACTGTGAGGCCGTGGCAGCAGGGAATTGTGGACTCCTGAAAAGGGGTTTTACACCACAGGGCCAGGGACCTGGGATACCACTAAAGGTGGTAGACTTACCAATATGTGGCACGAAGAGACTGAGAAACACCACAGGTAACATACTCAGCGACAAAGTGTATAACTCACAGAAACTGTACAAAGTTTGTGATAAAAAGAAAGTGCAAGACTTGTCGCTTGTCAAAACAAAAATGTGATGGAAAAACACCTTGCTCGATTTGTATAGACAAAAAACGTGAAAACGAATGTACTTACAGAAATAAAAACACAAAAAAAAAAAACAAAAAGGTCTAAATCTTTATTCAGTTTTCTCAAAAATACTTTTTAATATCTTAAAAGAGTCCTTGAAAGTTGAGTTAGATTTCACAAAATCGAATACCTTGACTTCTACACTTTGGCACAAACATATAACTGATGATATTAAAAGCAAGTGTGATGCTATTGCAACAAAAATAAATGGTATGAATAATCCATATGAGAAAACAAATATTCTCACATTTAAGGAAAAAAGACAAACGATAACAACACAAGCCGTGATATGTGTCGCAGATTAAAAATAAAATGTAATGGACAAAAACCTTGTTCAAATTGTAAAAAACACAATTCTTATTGTACTTACGAACAGGTTGATAAAAGAAAAAAAAGAGAAACATCAAAACTATTTCAATTTAGATCAAAAAGAAAACATCGGCCTATTGCTGCATGCGACAGATGCAGAAGACAAAAAATTTCTTGCTCAAGCAAAAGAACTGAAGATACCTGCACTGAATGCGAACATAAAAACAAGATCTGTACCTACAAAGATAAGCTAAACAAACAACAAGAAATAGAATTATATTGCATCTCTACTCCCAATTTCGCTAATATTCCTGCTAAAATTGTTGAAGAAGCTTCTGGGGTTTCTGACTCCATCTCTAATTGCAGAGATAAGGAAACATCTGATACTTTGTCTGCTTCTGCTTCAGCAGTGCATGTCCTAAACATGTCAAAGCTTATGATGCGATTTGCAAAACATGTAATCCTGAAAATGATGTGTGTGATGAGGGGGGTTGGAAGAGTTGGTTTAATTAAGACTAATTATTATGCTAAAATATTTTTCTTTTTTTTATAATATATTTTTTTATTGGCTAAATTGGCAAAGTCTGTTTTTATTATGTTATTCACCACGTGGTGTGGTGTTTATATGTACTTTAAGCTTTTTAAGATTCTAATTATGCTTTTAAACTTTATATGCCCTATCCTTTTATGATTATGCCATACATCAGGAAATTTTTTTAGCCGATTACTAACGATTACCAACCAATAATCGATGATCATCGATAAAAAAAATATCGATAGTCATCGGTATGGGTGATTATAATCGATAGTTAACTCTAAATGATAACTATCTAAATGATTAAAAACGATGACTATCGTAAACGATGTTCATCTAAAATGAATAAAAACGATAGTCATCATTATTTGGCTAATAATTTTTTTTTTGGTTTAATTCTCTTTGACCGGGTTGGTGATTTCGCTTACAACTTATTCTCTTTGATCGAGTAGGCGATTTCAACTATACCTACGTTTACAATTTGTTCTCTTAGACCGAGTAGGTGATTTCAACGGTACTTCGCTTATGACTTGTTCTCTTAGATCGGGTAGGTGATTTCAACTGTACCTACGTTTACAATTTGTTCTCTTTTGCTGGGTTGGCGATTTCAATTGTACCTACACTTACAAGTTGCATTTTTTTTTTATCTTTGATCGAGTTGGTGATTTCAACAGTACTTCACTTGCAAGTTTTTCCCATTGACCGGGTAGGTAATTTCAACTGTACCTATGTTTACAATTTGTTTTCTTTGACTGGGTTGGTGATTTCAACTGTACTTACAAATTGCAAATTTTTTTCTCTTTGACTGGGTTGGTAATTTCGACTATACTTCACTTACAACTTGTTCTCTTCAACCGGGTAGGTGATTTCAACTGTACCTACATTTACAATTTGTTCTCTTTGACCGGATTGGTGATTTCAATTGTACCTACGCTTACAAATTGCAATTTTTTTTTTCTTTGACCAGGTTGGTGATTTCGATTATACATCGCTTACAACTTGTTCTCTTCGACCGGGTAAGTGGTTTCAACTGTACCTACGTTTACAATTTGTTCTCTTTGACTGGGTTGGTGATTTCAATTGTACCTATGCTTACAAATTGCAATTTTTTTTCTCTTTGACCGGGTTGGTGATTTCAACAACTTTCTTTAATTTATAATCGTATTAAATTAGTTAAATTAAATTTATTTATAATGTATTTTATTTAAATATAAAAATTATGTAAATACTATAAATATGTATTTTATTTAAAATAATAAAAACAATATATAAATAGCAAATAGCAATATTTATTATTAATTATATAAATATTTATAAAATAATAACACATTACAATTGAATGCTTTGAAAACTTAATGTTAATATTTATTATTTAAATAAAATATTAAATTCTTTTAAAATATATACTGTTATCATGTGTCGTGATAACAAATTTTGATTTTTCATAAAATTAATAAATTATCAAAACAATAAATTAACTTCTTTTAAAAAATCAAAATTGTTTTCTTTAGAACTGGCCAACGTCTTGAGTGCAATGGTGCTGGATGGTTCACGCGCTCTTACATATTATAATCATCACTATCAACTTTTCGTATACTATCCAACCAGGTTGCTTTGTATACTGAACCAAATCCTCCTTCACCAATTTTTTTAACATCAGATAATCTATTAAATGGAATCCATTCAATCGCATTTTCGTAACTCCAGGCCCTAAATTGGAATGTTTTCATGCAATCATCAATATCTTTATTTCCAATTGTCCACTGTGTTTCTCTGTCAGGGTCTCACGACAGACACCATGCTGGTCGGGTGTTATTTTCATTACAATGTGCACATTTTCTATTTTAAGGATATCTATATAATAAATATTTAATGTTTTATCCCACGTCCCAATATGATCGCATGATGGGGATTTGCGTGTTATTTTTTCACTAAAATTGCATTGGAATTTTTATATACTGTTATTTCCCCGTATAAGCTATTATTACATATTATTATTTCCCCAGAAAATTTTAAATTTTTATTTTTTTTAATCGGGAGAAAACATAGTTAAAAATTATCATAATATGAAGCTGAAAGTACTTTAAAATTCTAATTCGCATTAATTTGTAATAAAAGAAATTACATAAAATCCTAATACATTATTTCATAGTAATTTTTACTTCAATATTGCAATTGGAACAATTTTCAACAATAATTCATGGCATTTCTTGAGCAGAATTTGAAGTGATAGCCGGAAGAATTTCTTGTGTATCTTCTTCAATAATTTTTGCTGAAGCTTTTTTGAGTGGACTGACAAATGGTTTTGATGCGTCGAATGGTTTAAAAGGTCTTGGTTTTGAAATTCTAGGACGAATTCGACGAGCTATTTGATTGTCTGAATTAGAAATAGGTGCAAGTGGTGGTCGTGACGAATTTGATGATGATTCTGAGGATTCTACAATATTTTATCAATTAATATTATTCAAAAAATAAATTATTAAAATAAAATAGATAATTACCCGGAATAATCATAGCAACAGTAGTATTCATTATTTCTTTCGTGAAGGTTTGATATGAAGCAACACCACCAAGTGAACGATGTCCACTAAATACCATAATTCGATCAGTATTCACGTTAAGCTGTGTGAGCATCTGAATTGCGGTTCTTCTTAGTGAATGATTAGTTGTTTTTTTTAGGTTTATATTAATAACACCCGTTGTTTCACATATTTTTCTAATCATTTTTTCATGAGCATGACGTCCAAGTGGAGAATTATAAAACCAGACACCTTTTTCGAAATCTAAAAAACAAAAATAATCGTATAATAGTAAGAAAATAAAAATAAATAAATACCCTTTTTATAAGCAATTTTCAAGAAAAATTCTTTTGATGTAAAATGTTTTCCACGCCGAAGCATATAGTATAGAATATCACGAACTGGAGTAAATCTATCTTGTGTATCAGGTGGTATTCGACATACTCGACCTGAATTATTTAAATTCTTCAAACCACCCGCATGATTCTTTTCACGAGGTATAATAACAGTTAGACTATTTGAACACCTTCCTTCACATGATCATATTGAAGTCGTTTGGCATCTCCACCACGTAATCCACACAAGAGACATAGCCAAAAGTAAACCCTATATGTGATAGCAGTAGGTGTATCTTGTAAAAGCTCTTCATGATTCAATATTTGAGCTATTTCATTATTTGTAAGCGAATCACTTTTATTAACTCGTCGCGAACTTGTGTCTTGAACTAACTTAATTTTTCCATCAATTGTTGAGTATAAACGGGGAAATTGATTTTTATCGAATATATTTGGCTTAGGATCTTGACAGGATTTATTCAAAAGGTGTCGAGCAATTCCACAGTAACAATTGTGAATTGACGTAGGTGCATATGGTTTGTCCATCCTTTCTTTTTAAGGCAACAAAAAATTGAATAAGAATATCCTCCAACTCAGAATGATCTTTAACTTGTGTAATATCACCAGGAAGATTTAGATTTTTAAAGTATTCATTGATCGTATTTACCCAAGTTTGGGTATTATGTTGAGTATTTGCCACTTTAGAATAATCGATAACGTGGTCAACGTCTTTCTGAGAAGGTGCTTGAAAACGAAACTAAAAAAAAAGCAAAAGTATAATAAAATATCATAACTTCTATTAACTAATCCAAAATATAAAATAAAAACCTTGGTTCTATCTTCGTTTTGACCTTCCTTATCGCTAGTTTCAGATTCGTTCTCACAAATACTACCAATATCATCATTATCAAGAGTGCCGTCACTACTATCAATACTGTCAACGGAGGTATTAGAAGTAAAAGAAGCGTTGAAACAGTCACTATTGGTGTGGCTGTTATAAAATCATTATTATTCGATAGGTTCATTTTTAATATCTGGTAAGAAAGCGAAAGAAAATAAATGGAAAGAGAGAGAGAATGATCGATAGAAAATATATATATATATATATATCAATTATACTTTTAATACGTAATAAAAAGTCTAATACATTAATGAATATATATAACTTATATATATATATATATATATTTTTTTTTAGCCTGGTGATTTTCATAAATTAAACTTTCTATGACGTGATAAAAGATTTGATTAATAACACGAATCGCATCATGTCGTCATATGGAACGAAGGATAAGTATTTATATTCTTGATTTGTGAACTTGTTTTGCTGTTTTTAATTCCATTGATTAATAATAAATGCTCTTTATACTCACGTGCTGAATAAATGATTAACGCGAATGAAATGAATTTAAGGTAATGGTAAAAAGTATTTATGTTCTTGATTTGTGAACTTGGTTTGCTTTTTTAATTTCCATTGATTAATAAATGTTCTTTATACTCACATGATGAGTGAGGTGATTAATGCGAATGAAATGAAATGGTAAATAAGTATTTATGATCTTGTTTTGTGAACTTGATTTACTGTTTTTAATTCCATTGATTAATTAAATGACTACGGTTAATCATACATTGTCCCGAAACATAATTGTTAAAGTAAACAGAATTAAATTTCATACTTACAGAATTATACTTCGTAACACTCTGGTAATTTATTGAACGATTAAATGATTACAATTAATCATACATACATTCTCTTGAAAACAATCATTAAAGCGAACAGAATTAAACTTTATACTCGCCTTGGGAATTTATTGAACGAACTATTACGATTATCGTTACAAAAAGAGTTCTTGTAATCTTCTCACGATCATTCATACCATTATGAGGTAATTATAGCATATGATACAGAAATAGGAAAAAGCGATAACCATAATGCTTTCTAAATTAGGAAAATAATATAGCGCACCAAAAAGTCGAACGATACCATCCCTCCACATTTCATGTGATCGTACAGTTGTATTGGTAAATTATTACTGTACCTCCGTATAGCCAAATGCACCTCAACAAGTTATTATCTTGACAATTTAATCCCAAATATAGAAATGCTGTTAATTGGTTTGCCGTGTCCAATAATCGTGGTGCCAAATTTAGTAAACAATTATTATTTGTTTACATAGTGATAGTTCGCTAAATAAAAATTGTTATTTGGTCGTGTTGAATTATTGCAATAGCAAGTCGTTTATATCGTATACTGCTTC